TCGGAAGAGTTGAATGCCCATTGCTGATGAAGTCTAGAGCTGCCAAAGCTTTCTGTGCTGGTTACTGTGAAACCGTTTCCACGCTGCTGATGTGAACCACAGTGCAAGTGCAGGCTGATGTGGGATTCTCAGTGCATTCATTGTTTTACAGGGCTCATCTGGTCCCGGTGTTTTCCTTTGGTGAAAATGAACTATTCAAGCAAGTTGCAAACCCCAAAGGTTCATGGCTCAGAAATGTACAGGAGAAGTTGCAAAAGATAATGGGCTTTGCTTTACCACTATTTCATGCTAGAGGAGTATTTCAGTACAGTTTTGGCTTAATACCTTACAGGCAACCTATTCATACTGTTGGTAAGTTCCTTGTGCTTTTTGTAATGCTTTTGCAAATGTTTAAAAATGCATGTGTGCTATTAATATCTGTGTAAACTTATAAATCTGTTCTAACAGAAACAATTGGTTACTGTGCATCCAAAGCAAGTATGTGAGGTTTAAAATAAATATTCCCTTCTTTCTTTTTTTTTTTTTTTAAATTCCTGTCTTCCCCCAATTTAAAGAGGGGATTTTTTTCTCCCTTTCCCCTTTCTGTCCCAGGCCAAATCTTAGTCTTCATTTGCAGTTATCCATAGGCTTCTATCCTCAGCAATCCTCAAGGAAACCCAAGAGGTTGTCCAGTTCATACCAGAGGGCTGTCACAGCTCTGCAGCTGTTGCTGCGTGTTCTGGACGCTGCAGTTATTTTGTAAGATGCCCAGCACCTTCATTTCTTAGCCCTGAAGAATTTGGGTGTTTCAGCTGATGCACAGCTGCTGCAGTGGTGCTCCAGAGCAAGGCTTCTGGAAGGAGCTGGTGCAGTCCTGACCCAGCGCTCGTCGGGACAGGGGAGAGACAGAGGAGGGAAGGGAGAGAGCATCTTGCCGCAGCTCTGCCAGCCCTTCAGCAGGCTGCTGCTTAGATGGCATTGCAGCTCCCTGGGGTGTTCCCTTCCCTTTTGGGTTTTTTTCCCCATGGAAAGATCCATTCATGTTTAATTGAGAGCATGCATGCCATGTTGACAGACAGTTTGGAAGAGAGCTTCTTCCCCAAAAGCTTTCATCCCTGGTCCTCTACTCTCACCGGAGTGTAGGACTTGATTTTTTTTTTTTTTTTTTTAAGTGGCTTTAACTAATGCTATTGACAACCAGACCTTTAAAAAAAAGTTGTGCTGGGTATTATGCAGAGGGAGTAGCTGGCTGTCTCTATATTTTGGATAAATCATTTTTAGGTTTTAAGCTGAGTGAACTAATGAGGCCTATTTCTACGGAAAAGCAAATTGAGCTTTTCTGGTATTCCACAAGGGACATTTAAGAAGGCCCCGCCCCCTTTAATTAATGGGAGGATGATTTGATTTTTATTGTGGATCAAATAAAAATATTTAAGACAAAAATGCAGCTCTTTTTATGTTAAATTTCATGCAGCTCTGTATCTTATCAGTGCATATAGTTAAATGTTTTAGAAAAGATTTAATTTTTAAAGCCACATTGTGCACAGGCAGGCTAAAAATGTCACTTATTTTAAAGCCAAAAAGTTTTCAAAGCATTAGAATGAGCGCACCATATTTTCTGCCTTTTTTTCTTCCTTGGGCTGATGACCTCGAGAGTGCTCTGAAGCTTGAAATGTCTTTCACTTTGAGGCAAATCTTCATCATTGTAATACTTACTGCAAGGATAGATGTGGTCCGTGGTTAAAGCATGGGAGTGCTTCAAATCAGCAAGACCAGAGTCTTGCCACAGAATTTGTTGTATGATCTCAAGAAATCCCTTACCTTTGGTGTCTCTGTTTCCTCATGTTTGAAAACTATCACCATGTCCCTGCATTCTTGAGTGGGGTCTCAGTATGGCTCAGCATGGCTTTGAAAGTGTTGCCTCTGCTCCTGAAAGCTGCAGAGACACGTTGAGCTCCACCTGAGCCAGCTAGCCGTGTTGACAGCGTGGCCGGCTATTGGCGAGTTTCCTCCTGGTTCAGAAGCTGTGGTTCCTGAAGCAAGGAGATGCAATTCAGCAAAACCAAGGTCCAAGAAGTTGATGAGTGTTTTCAGTTTCATGAGTGAAGTACGTTAGTTTTTCCTGAAAATTATTATTGCTTTTCAGAAATAGAATCAACTCTGATATATCAAATTAAGCAAGTTGCTTAAAGCTGCACAGAAAATTAGAAAGATGAGTGTAGTTTCCAATTTCACAAGAAGTCTCCACTCTTAGGAGAAGAGACTACTGCAGAAGGGCTTGGGAGGAGGGGGTTGTTTGGTGTTTCCAGTCACGCTTCTGGAAATCCTGTGTCGGATGTATATTGATTTCACCTGCCCTAAGGTGTATTGTTCAATCCAGGGCTGGGTTCCCACCTCTTGTCACGTAAACTCTGAATTTCAGCGCTGTGTAGGGCCTTAGAGCTGTTGGCAGCCGAAGCTGCAGCAGGAACGTGCAGAATCAGCCCCTTTGTGGTTCTGGCTAGACTTCCCTTCCCTTTAGTCAACACCATCCAATTTGAGGTGGCAACACCTGTTGAAAGGGATTTTCAAGTGCCTTTGTAAAAGCTCCTGGGTGCTCTCTGCTTTTCTGCAGACTTCCTCTGTAATCTCAGTCAGGTCTATTAAGCTCTCGATGCCTCCAGTGCAAGAATAGCTGTCAAAATCTGTAGTGATTGAACAGCACAAGGAAGACGGAGATTGTGGGAAGCTTCTCTTAGCATAATGCAGGCTTTTTAGCCACAGCTTTTTGCGGAGGAGGCGGCTGCCCTCTGGACTTCCGTGGAATTGCCTGCCATGCTCCCTCTTGCTCTCGCTCAACAGAGCAGGTAGCAGCTTTGCGCAGTGCCTCGTGCCTGGAGAACACTTCAGGTGGAGTGATACTCGTGGGCAATGGATGGTTTAGAGCCACCTTACAGGGTTTGGGGGTTTTATATGCTACCATTCTCTAGGCTGAGGTAGCCAACATTTCTGGTGCTGGTGCAGCAGTACCCATTTTGAATAAATCAGAGGATATCTGCATTTCCTTCAGTCCTGTTCATGTGGCTGTGTGGTTGAGGGCAACTCTGTCCTCTTAGCCATCTCCCTTGCATCGGATACCTTTAGTAATCAGAGCAGAACAGAACACGGTGAGAAGCTGTATTTTTTTCAAATGCTATTTTGGGCTTGTGCTATGCTACCCCAAAGGCAAGACAGCACACAGCCCATGGGATTGTATATTGAAGTGTAAACTGCTCCTTCAAGTCAGAGCTTAACCACCTTCTCATTTGCTCTTTTGCTGCAGAACTGAAATGATGGGGGGGTTTAAATTCATTGCATCTGAACTTGAGCAAAAGGAAAGAACCAAACCCAGGGCTCAGGTTTGTGAAAGGCAGGATCAGGCCCCAGGGCAGCGCTGTGATTCTGCCATCTTGCTGGGAGCTGTGGAGGAGCTGTTACAGGAGGGAGAGCAGTTTTACATAAAAAGAGATGTCAATGAAGCTAATGTTGCTGTTGTGTTTGATTTGCAGTGGGAAGCCCTATACCTGTAAAGCGGAACTTGAACCCCACCACTGAAGAGATTGAACAGCTCCATGCATTGTACCTGCAGAAACTAAGAAAATTATTTGAAGAACACAAAAGAAATTATGGGATCCCTGAGCATAAATCTCTCATCTTTGAGTAGCAAATTACAATTTGTAATTCCAAATCTCATTTTAAAAAACAGTGTATGCTGAAAGATGTCTTTCTTGCAATCTGTATTTTGCAATCTGTAATTATCCTTGTGTAAGGAATAATTTTGAGAAGGGATTATTTGATGATTTATTGATTTTTATCTTACTCTTGGAGGGAGAACAAAAAAATCCTTAGGGTGTGAGCCTCGAAGCCAGTGCTGTTTTGAGTTGTCCTTTTATGTTCATCTGTACCAGAAATGCTAGTGAGAGACTCAGCACAGATGTTCTTACCACCATGGTACCTAACCAGGAAAAGTAAAAACCCGAGAAGTCTGTGATTAGGGGTTGCGAGACTTACCTGCATGTAGCAAACATTTCATCAGGTTGTTCTCTGAATGTCAAAAAACCCTGCTGCTCTTCCATGGAAATGAAGGTGTGTGGTTTTGGCTGTTATAAGCCATTTACATGTGAGTTCAAGAATAAATAGGAGCTTTCTGCCCTGAACAGGATATTGGCAAAAGCAGTTTGTCCAAGTTCTGGAGCAGAGCAGACCCTCTGTTTAGAGGAAGAACAGCATGTTGAGTTTTCTGTGTGCACGTATATGCTGGGTGGTGGGAAGCACTGAACGATGTGACATTTTTTGGACAAGCTGTGCTTTGGACTGTCAGTTTGGAAGAAGAAGCAGCTTTGTTTGATAGCTCCGGCCTCAGAGGAGATGGCAGGCACAGGACAGGAGAAGCGTACCGAGGGAGCTAGTGGAGGAATCATGTGAACTTTACATGTTGTGCAAGTTAAAAATGATCATATGCCAAGCACTTCCACAGGATGAAGGGGAGCCAAGTTTGTTCAGTCTAGTTCTGAAACTTCACCAAGGAAAGTGTACTTGATATATGCCTTTTTCTTCTCCGCTGGTAGATGTGGGGAAGCACGTGGAAAGCTGTGCCAGTGTGACACAGCTGCGCTTGCCAAGGCAGTGTCAGCACAGCTGTAGGGTGCAGCAGGTTAAGAGGATGCTTTGCATTCAAACCAGGTGCCTAAGCTTGAGAGAAGGTGTATCTTCTTTCTCGGTTGAAATACCTAGGTCTCTGAGATGATGGTGTGTGTGAAGAGAATTATAGTATATTATTGCATTTTTAATGAGATAAATTCTTGTATCTGCGCCTGGACTTTGCAGATCTGGCTTTGTTGAAAAGTGTTTGGTTTGCTTTAACCAGTTTTGGTGCCTGAATTTTACGTCAGTTAGGTGCTCTGACAGGACATGCACAGGCCTGTTGGGCAGCCCAGGATAACTGCAGCTGGGTCAGTTCAGCACTGGCGTGCCCCAGGAACAGCAGTGCTGGTTCCACAAAGGTACTGGACACATTGTGTACTTGCTGGGCTGCAGCCTCCTGAGAAGAAATGCAGTTGGGGTTTTGGGAAAGAAAAGATCTTAGCGAGATGGTCTTTAAAGAAAAGGGTGGAAATGTCTTGACTCCTGAGGAATGGACTCCTAATGAACCAAATCCCAAAGCTGAGTAAGTATTTGCCAGACAGAGTGGATAGATAAACTTTTATGTGATGTGCTCCAAAAACCCTCCTGCAACAGGTTGCTTTCCTTAGGAGGGCTGTTCTCCTAGTGCCTATCTGTCAGTCAGAGGTGACCAGCGCTGAGCAGTGAATCCTGCTCTCACTTTCTCTAGGATGACAGATGTCTTTCTGGGAGCCATGGCTGGAATTTGTGATACCTGAAGACCCTCTCCTGCCTGAGAGACTGCTGTCAATATGCACACAATTCATGTCTACTTGAGCTTTCTTGGTGCCATGTGTGCTTGCCTTCCCTTCCCACGCGTTTGCTGCCTGATGATCACTGTGGTGTAGACATCTTACTTCCTCACTCTGTCCATCTTCCCCTGGGTTAAGATCTCTGAAGGACTATGTATGCATGGAAAGTATTGAGTGGTGGCTTATCGTTCAGCAGAAATGGGGTTTAGGCGCAGGGCTTGAGAAGAGGAAGGTCTGTGACTGTGGATGTTTAACACGAGCTTAAGATCAGGATTGTTTCAGCGCTTGGAAGGGCATGCATCTGGGGAGGTCGAACACAGCAGGTTTGATACCTGGGAAGAGGTCTCTAGGGTCCTGAGGACTGTAGTAAGTGATGAGCCCTGAGTAGTCATTTTTGCTTAGCCAGCTGTGTGAAATTTTCTTTGGATTTGTTATTTTGCAGCCTGCCCTGGTGAGTAGTGCTGATTACTCATGAAAAAAGAATTTGGAGCCTCTGTCAGACTCTTCTAGATCATCTGCTCTAATGAGATAGGTCCTCTCATTCTCAGCCTGCTCTTAACCTATTACCTTAATGACAGAGGAACCCAGGATGTCAATTTAAAAGCATTAGCATTGGGTTGAGGACGGGAAGTAACAATGGATTGTTGTTGATCAAATTAGCCCAAACTTCTAGGGAATATGTGGATACTGATTTGGGGGCACTATCTGCCCCAGAGGGTACCCTACAAACAGACTTACTGCTGAATTCCATGAGAACATTGTGGGCTCTGAATACCATCCATAACTGGCACAGGCAGAACAAGCAGGGATTGTGTTACTCTGACTACTGAAATTTTCATGGCTTTGTAACACAGGAAGATGGAGAAGAAAACAAAATCTCCAACCTACTTAAATATATATTGTTGCTCAATAACTCCTGCATATTGCTGATGATGGTCCTTCCAAACTACCTTTTATTAACAAATTGTCTAGTCTATCTAGGACTATTTTAAAGTAGAATATCAGTCTCTAAACCTGATAGGCACGGTGTCATCTAAAATATTTACCTCTGTGTCAGCGTGTGGATTTGTAAAACAGCCCTGCAATACTGAGCCTAAAGGCCAGAGCCCTGGAAGCTATAGACGAGTTGTAGCTGGTGCAGGCACCCATCCTACCTCTGCTGCAGCCATGAGGAGGCTTCCCACGTTTGCTCAAGTATCCATGCAGTCTTGACCAAGCAAGAGCAAGCACTAGTAGGAACGGTGACACCCGCTCCCCCAGCTGTGATTAGAGGAATCGGGTACTGCTCAGATTTCTGGTGGGAAGTCCACACTTTGTGGTGTGTTTCTTTTTGTGCCTTTTAGTGATGGCGGGAATCCCAGGGATGCTGGTCATCTATCACCAAGATAGGTGCTCAGCCTCTGTACCATGCAAACACTGCCTCTCCAGTGTGCTCCAGCTGACGGCGACTGCCTGTTCCCTTGTGGGTGAGCATCTCTTTGCCAAAGTCTGTTTACAGAAAGTCTTTACACATCAATCCTTGAGAATTTTTACTTTGTGAACTACAAAGCGTATTTCACGCTTTGTAACTTTTTATGGTACCTGTAAAATATGAATGTCAGTTGTTTCAATGATAGCTGTGGCAAGAAGGTGTGAGATAATAAAGGTTTGTACCAAAGTGTGCTTGTGTTGACTGGAATTCAAATACGTATCACTGCTGTTGGGTAAGGGCTTCATCCGTTGGACCTTCGGAGCCTGACTGAACTCAAGAGGTCCTATTAGCTATAAGGCTGAGGTCATAACACGCTGAGAAATCAGGGGGCAGGGAAGACGGATGGACTGCTCGCTGCAGTCTCCTGAGGGCTCACCTGAAGCCAGGTTGCTGCTGGCAGTCCCAGAGGGTCTGGGGAAGAAGTGGTCCCTGTCCACGGCAGGGAAGGGCTGGGCTGCAGCAGCTCACAAGCAGGAACACGGTGTGAAGGGGACACGGGAACTGGTGAAATAGTAGCTTTTGGAGTTCAACTTAAAATTCAAACTTAGGCTTAAATTTAAATGAAACTTGCATTAAGGAGTCCAAGTCTTAGTATCTGTAGCGTAGAAATAAGAACAAACCCTGCAGAGGCTCTGCTTAACTCTAGGAACTGGGGAGCTAAATAGCTACTTGGAGTAAAAAGTATTGCGTTTGTCTGTTGGGAAGAGGAAAACCAGCCACCTTAGAACAGTGCTGTATTTTAGGGGCTTTACAAGTACGGCAACGTTTATACTAACAGCCGCACTGACAGGTATGAATTCCCAAGCCTGGGAAAGGCAAATGGTGTGTTGTTACTCTTTTAATACTTTCTTCACGGAACGATCCCACATTGCGTCTCAGTATACTATAAAGGGGAAAAATGGATTTAAAAGTGCAGTGGCCTTGGATTGCTTTGAAGTAGTCCCATTATACCCACGTGTGTGTAAATGGGAGATGTGTCATGGTTTATCAATGGATTGACATCACATCCTGTTTTTGCTGAAATACCAAAAAGTAGCAAGTTATACCTGTAAAGCAAGAAATAGAGAAAAATGAGGAATGGAGAGCAACTGAATCTTCACGCTTCTTGAAGGGCTGCAGCAACGCTAATCCTGATGGGGACTGCTTGCGATAGGTAAGTGGTGTTACCTCCGTACCCAAGCAGTTGACTCTGAAGGGAATGGGGTGGCCCGAAGGATCTAGCTGGTTTTTCAGCTGCTGTTTCTTAAGGTTGATTTCCATTTCACGTCGGCTGAGCTGCTGGAGCGCTGCCTGTATTGCAGACCCCAGCAGTCCCTCGTCTCGTCTCAGTTCAACAGGCTGTAGAAAAGGAAGGGGAGAAGAGAAAAAGGAGGAAATTTGTTTACTTAATGTAGTCATATGCTGGAGAAATATGTCCATCTAAAACTCTAGCTAAAAGAAGGTGAGGAACCATCTCCTCTCTTGGGTGCCTTCCGTACGCCAGCAGTAGTTTCACAAATAGCGCAAGCTTGGGAACAGCCTTCTGCAGTGCAAAGAGGAAGAGGTTCCCTTAACGCGCGCTGGGATGAAGGAGTCCGTGTCGCCTTTGTACGCTTACTTTGGCTGTCGTCTAACCTGGGTTCTTTGCCGTCTTGGCCAGCAGTAACAATTACAACTGTTAGCCAAGTAACAGCCTCTGCTTGTGCAACTGATTTTCAGTTGTATTTCCTACTGACGTGAACGGAGGCCCGTTGCTTTTTGAATGGCTATGATGAAATTTAATAAACAGACCGGGAAAGAGCTCAGCACGTTGGCTGTGAGCTTTTCTTGGCTGACACGGATCAACAGTGGTCTAACCTTTTCCTTCTGCAGTCAGCAAGCAATATTTAAATGGAAAGAATAGATTTGTTGACTGGAAAACTGGCGTTTTTTCTATTTGTAGAGCAGAGACTGTCCTGTAACGACACGGATTACAGTGTTTTCCTGGGGAGATTGCTTAGGACTAATTCTTAGCCATAACAACGTTGACATACATGCGCTTTAAAATGCTCTGCAGTAAGAGTCCACGTTAAAACACAGCCTAGGTGTTTTATTTGTTGCTAAAATTTGTCCTGTTTCTCTAGATG